ACCTTGACATTAACATATGAGATATTGTTATAGTTCTCAGTATCTTTCATAGAACTTTTTACAATTTCTGTTAATAACTTTTTAATAAACAAGCGATGCTTATAAGTTTTTCACTGTTATTCAGAGTGATGGTCCTGATAACATGTGTTAAAGTCATAATTACATCATTGCTCCGTCAAACGCAATATTTACCCAATGTTTTGCTGAAATGGTCGGAATACTGACTTGCTCAATATTGAAATACTTATTGAATGAGTCTTTAATTATAATTAACGATAATTATCGTTTATCAAAAATATATGTGTCACGAGTTGTACATTTTCTACCGTAGGAAACGTAAATTTCGTGAAATATGTACAATGAGGCACCTTATGGTCTGGATACATGATAATCATGAAATTCAATTCAGCCAGGGGGATTTTCACGACGAGAATCACACGTGACTTATTTTCGCCTGTCGCGTCGCAAGTACATCCCGCGGGAAAATTTCACCCGGGATATAATCGCAAGCGAATGTTGGCCCCGGCCATTAAATTGATATTCCGTGAATCGGTGTCAGAAGCACACTCGATACTGTCTGAATGGGCTTGTTTCACCATTCGTTCCAAGGATCGAGGGGTCGCGTCCTGTCCGCGGAGAAAGCGCTCCTCCATTGAATGCGAGCAAACTGGCCGCCCTTTTGTCGAGGACAATGCCAGGAGCTTACGTTCGTTCAATATTTTCCGTCAACAGGCTGCACGCGCTCATCTCGTTATAAAGTCTGTTTGATCGGCAAACATCGCAGGCTCGATGCATGTGGCCTGGATAGCACAACTCGGCGCAATATGCCGCGCTCGCTCACGAGAAATGTCCGTCCCTTAAAAATGTTTTGGCGATAATTGCAACCGGAGTACACGCGTGATTCAGTTAGATATTTCCCCTGAACGGTATCGCGCGCCAATACTTAACTTTCATTCGTTATATGCTTATTTGCCGTGAATTCGCGAGACAAAATCTTGAATTTATACTGTGGAAAAAAATTTACTAAAAAGAATTTTTTTATCATTTTTTAGTAATACTTTTGTACACAACTGTGAACGTATTTTTTAAACAAGTGATTGTTGTATGAATATTTATTTAAAGAAAATGTTTCTTCCTATATTAAATACATGTTTCATTAAATGTCAGGAAATATCTTCTACAAGTTAAAAAATATTTACTACCAGTTAGCACATTTTCTTATTCTTTTTAATTATATTTTATGATATTAGGTTGGTGCAAATAAGATAGGGCCATTTTTAAAGAACAATGACAAAAAAGGCCTTTTTTGCCTACCGAGACAAACGTAAAAACATTATCATTCCTTATTCATTTTAATCAGTTAAATACAGTGATGCTATTAAAATTATCCGGGAACATCTTCTATTTTGAAGATAAAGTTATATTTCTTCAGATAATCCGCTATATTGTTACAAGTATTGATGAATACTGTCGGTATTGTAAAGGGAAATTATTATCTGCAAATATATTACACACCACGAACAAGTGCAGGTTATTTTCAATATCAATTAGATAACTGACTTCGGCTAAAACTTTCTGAATTTTACTCAGGAGAATCTCTTTGATAATATATATCAAAGTCAAAGTCATCAGAGGTGGGTCCCCTAAGCCTCAGTTTGACCGATAAAACGAGTAAAAAAATCAGAAAAAAAAATAGAACGAGAACAAACTTTTAATCAACCTCCATAGGTGAATAATCCACGCATCGATTTTTAAGCTGACGTAGGGAAGACAGCTGTAAAGGGGTGAAGAGGGAGTAGTTATGGGAAGAAGTGTTTTGTAGAAATCCCTCGTTCGTAGGAGCGGGGCAACGACATCGCGGCGTGGGGATTTATACATTTTGGGGTATTATCAAGGTAGCCGTAAGTAATCTTGACGGTTTGCATCTGTGCCCAATATCCCGGCGGCTGCCTTGAAGTCACCCCTCTCGTGCAGCCCTTGTGTCTGCCGTACGACGACGACAGCTCACCTACGCGGAGAACCGATGACAAACGTTGCCATCTAAACAAAGGGCCTCATGGCATACGCGCACCAGACACGCAATTTCCGCGCGACATGTAAATCGCCCGAAATGAATTTCTGCCAATCACGCACGTGCGCCAGCCGCGCGATCACGGAAGGTCCCCACGTTGTGAAGCGTATTTCCGAAAAAAATGCATGCCCACCTAACGAAGCCTATAAAGCGATAAAAAAATACACACACGCATGTATGTGTATATATATATATATATATATATATATATATATATATGTATTGTACACGTATATATAACGGAGAAAAGCGCGCCGCATTGTTGAAACGAAATAGCGTAGTTTATCGGTGAGAGTCTGTTTTTATACTCCTTTTTCGTCACGTTTTCCGAATCATTATTACACCGAAATTCGTTGTTTATGTTAATCCGCGTGGGTTATATTTATTTATTTTTTTCTTTTAATTGACTGCAAAATCTAGTAGTAATTAAAGACTTGCACGACTATGAAACTTCGAATGCTGTCCGGAGATTAGCATTGATCCGTGGCTCGCTCGCGCAAAGATCAAATTCGTTCAAGAAGTTGAGCAAGTGAGATACCCGCGTGTTTCGTACGCTCATCGTAATATCCATTCTGCCGTTGCCATACGGTATTTACGTTGCACGGAACAATCTAATATTTCTCGACGGCAAAAACATTGTGCGCTCGTTACAACCCAGTTTTAATAATATGCTCCTTCGTACTTTTTCGAGAAACGCTTCAGGAGGAATAAATATTTAAACATATTAAAAATACATGCGCCTGCACCGAATAATATAAGATAATGCCACGTGGGACGCGAATATTGAACGTTTGCCGAAGATATTTCTCGCGCATTTCAGCGATATCGTATATTTGACACCTTCGTCGGTGATGCGGTTCCGTCATTTGCGAGAGGACTCGACGTTCCATGCAAGATGACAGCGCAGAAGCGAGGAATTAAGCGGAACGGGCCGACAGGGAGCGAGAGGGACGCTAAGATTCTGCCTTTCGCGCATTCATGCGGCCTGTCGAATTGGGGCCCGAGATTCGCATACGCTCGCCTGATGGCCCATACGTCTCGCCGATACCGCCATTGAGATGATTGATGCGTGCCGTCACTCGGTAGACGCGACGACATAAATCAAAAGACCTCGCTATACGCGGCTGTGCTCTTTCTTCTCGTTTATTCCTCGATCCTTTCCCGTTTTCCCCTTTTTCCCCCTTTTCTCCTCCTTTTCTCAGTGTAAGGCACTGAAGGGCGTTATCAAATCGGCCGACAACAGAGGACGAGGGGATTAAATACCAAACAAGAGAGAGAGAGAGAGAGAGAGAGGAGCTTCGATTGTTGGGGTATGACGAAAGTGGTATGAGTTGACGAGGGTGCCAGAGGAGGTTGTATTACCGTATAACCTCCCTGGAAGAGCATGTAGGGCTCACAGATCCGCCTTGTACTCCCTTCCGTAATACGTCCCATGATAGTCATTGTCGACGTATTATCCGATTACAGGCGGAAAAAGAGCGCGATGCTTCGTTAATACCAGCAATCTAATAACGGCGAAAAAGTAATTCGTTTCCTCGCAGTTACATAGAATAGAAGAAGCACTTTTTGGTTCCCATTCACAATTCACATTAAACTAAACTTATCTCTCTTTGACTCGCTTTATCACGTGACTTTATTATATGACTTGTATTCATTCCCATTGAAAAGAGTCCGATATAGGACATGTCTGGTCAATTAAAGTGTTTGAGTTTATCTACTTTGTGATATAAATTCGATCTAATCGTTTAATTTTCAGCATTAAAACACTCGTTTTTTGGCTCTTAAATAGATCTCATTATACCTTAGTTAAAGTTTATCTCATTTTTGTGAAAAGTTACGAATATCCTTCGAACTGATGAGAATATCACGTAAAATCGATAATTTTCATGAAGATCGTTCTTTCAGTTAATAATTTCAACAGGAAATTATTTTCACATAAACGAGTTTGTCAGGCTGATTATTATTATAGATACCCAAGAAAGAATATTCATATTTATTTTCAAGGGATATTTTTCGGTTTTCCCCGAGAAGCCACAATAGTAACAAAAAAAGAAAGAGGAAAAAAGAATATAATTCGATGGAATCATGTAATGGTATGGTGTTGATATCATAAATAATAGTACGAGCGTTAAAATAGCTATTGGGCGCCGTTGTACGAGGTGAGTTGTCGGAGCACAAAGGTGAGGATTCGCGCACATCCATACACCCTAGGGGATGTTTTCGTTCTCACATTGTACATGGTATTTTGTCCTCAGGATGATGTATCGATAAAGCGGAATTCTCGAACGAAAGCTTTTAATCGCGCAAATGCGATGTGAGCGGCTTGTAAGTAAAGAAAGCGTGGCAGAAGTGAGGAGACTCCATCTTTATAACTCATGCCACAATCACGTTACTTCGAAGATATGTAAGAAATGAATTTGTGATAAATATGTATTATGTCTTTGTGTATTGTAAATCCTTTTGTTCCAGTGAATATAAATAGCGTTAATAATATCCAGATTTATATGGAACAATAAATATTTTTTATTCTATATTAATCTACAAGAATTTCTCTTTAATTTTAATTTTATTTAATTTCAATTTATAGTGCGTTTAATTGTGCAATATTCTCTAATTAGTCTGGTTATTCGTACTTTACTTTATTATATTTTTACTTAGAATAAAGATGCGCGAGAAAGAGGAGCATTGAAAAGTATATTAAACAATTCCGCCTTATTTTTAGAAGTGAAGTCGCATACGAGTTTTTTTCTGTGGTAATTTGCTCGAGCGCCCTTATCTGACGACATATAGACAAGTGACAATTTCATATCGACATGTGTCCAGAAGAACGCGGAACAGATAGCGAGACAAATACATTGTGAAATCATTAATTATTCTCATTAGGCAACACTCGACGTATGTCACGCAACTGATAAAACAGTCGCGTATAATTATTCATTGTCAATGATTCACAAAAAGACCGTTATTCATCAACGTAGTATATATATTGCTGCTACGATACAACGTAGGTGCAAAAGTGCATCATTCTGCAACATGAAGGCGGCAGTCGTACTTCTACTGTTGATCGTGGCTTGCGTTCTGTTCGAGGAATCTGTAAGTCTTAACATTTTAAGTTAGAATTAGCTGCTGTCCAAAAGTTTCTGGAAAGTAATTATTATTCTGTATGAAGGAACAATTTGGATGGAGAAGATGTGGATGGCGTAGAGGTTGGAGACGTCGTTGTTGGAGACGTAGAACTACCACGACCACGACCACGACCACTACGCGGCCATCTACAAATGCTACTCAAGCATTTTTACCCATTGCAGTACCTCCTATTTCCACATCTGGTAGAAAAAGGCGCGAGATTATAGATGATATGGATGATACACTCCCACCAATTATAATATAAATGTGAGGAAATTGAGACGTCGAATTGTGGAATAAAATAATGTAGAGATCCCAGGGAACTTCGCCAGAGCATTAGCAATTCTAGCACATTAATATTAATAATGAATCCAAGTAATCTTTGATGAAGCAATAAACCGCAATAAAGATGTATTAGATGCTTACATATAAACGTAATTTTCTCAATTTTCCCAACCTTCTGAAAAAAAAACCAACTGGACATGCGAAGTGATCTTCAGTAATCAAGACATTTCAAGCAGATGCTTCGATAGAGGTATATTTATAAAAATAATGTAGTAACTAGTAAAACGTAAGAGACGTAATGCGCATTATTAGACACATGTCCAATCTCGAGTTTTAAGTGTTATTCATACTGAAAGAAAAAAATGTTTAAAGAATAGTAAATATTTATTCAACGAGTACTAATAATATATTTACTTAAATAACAATTATTTTATTTAAATAGAACAAACAATTACCTCAATGGAAAAGTAAGGTTCTCTTAAAGTTTCAAGAAAATGGATTAAAAAGATATTTGAAAAATATTTTATATATTAATACAAGTAAATATGTTATTAATATTCACTGAATAAATATTTTTGTTGTTTTGTAAGTATTTTTTTCTCTTAATGCACTTCATAACTATTTTTTACCGATTTTTTCTTCAATACATAAAACGAAAAAACCTAGAGGAAAATCCGAGGTTGCTAGAATTTGTTCGTGCTCGGAGGTTTTTCGCCGAAAATGTGGGATTTGCGATGATGATGTCTTCGGAGCATATCGAGAAGCGGTAAGATATGCTGAAAGAACGACAAAGAAGACAGTCGTTGAAGCGCACGTTTCTACGGTCGGGGGCTTCGCTAGGTTAAAATTTATTTTTCCACGAATCGTCTCGTCGCACACGGCCTCTAGTTGCCGAAGTCGCGATATTCCGCGTGCGTTATGCACATACGAATACATCCGTACGTAAATCTGATGAGGGTGAAAATAGCTATTCACATTTGGTTCCGCGTCGACGGCGATGACGACTTCGAGACGTTAAGGAGAAATTTCCTTGGTGCAAAAATTTTGAGAAAAGAAAGTACAGAATATAAAATAAAATGTATACATACAATAACATTAGTTGTACAAAGAAAGTACAGAATATAAAATAAAATGTAAACATACAATAACATTTATTAAGTATTTGACTGTGCTCTCAAATGTTTCGTAATTTCTCTTCTTGACGATCTTAATTACTTGATTCGATGTTCTGGTGTCGCGTAATATCTGCGTAATATTTGTCACTGAGGAAATTTTCCAAGATCCAAATGTTTGGACAACTATATATAATGACAATAATAAATACCACTTAGATACTTTATTTGTAATTTATAGCACTGAGGCAACTTGGTTCCTAAAGACTCAATTTTTCTCAATTTTTTACTTTAATAGAGCTTTTCTTACTCTGATTAAAAATTTATTCTCTCTCTCTCTCTCTCTCTCTCTCTCTCTCTCTCTCTCTCTTTCTCTCTGTCTCTCACTCTGTCACTCACTTGCTGTTCCGTTAAAACGAAAGCAGCGTAACTGTGAAGCACCATTACGCAACACCGTTCACTAAACTGAAACTGCTTTGAGATAATCCTCTTTTTGGGTAATCGATTTTATTTTATATTTTTTTTTCCAATAAATGCTTCGATTAAAAGTGCAAAAGAGTTTTAGCACAGTAAAAGCTGGCAGAGCGTGGTCACGTCAGCTCGCTGGCGTAACCTAATTTTCAGCGATTAAATGCAACGGGCGCGATAATGCTTGTAAATTGAGCGAATTATGCCACCGGCGCTGGCACCCGACGTAGCCCCGTCTGATTAACATGCACGTTACGCCGGGTAATGCCGTTCGACCTGACATTTGCATTGGTACGCGTCGAACGATCTGAGATTTTAGCACGTGGATGTCTTGAACGAGTAGAGTCTTGTAAGGCGTGTAAATTGCTCGATGGCCGGTAATGATTATTGCAATGAATAATAAAATATTATAATGCAAAACGGATGGAATGACGTCTTCGTTCTTAATAGATTGACTGTTTGCGTTAAAACAGGGGTGAATAACGACGTTAATAAGGAATCGTCTTACGAGAAATAAAATAGATAATCGTCGCGGAACAAATCTTTCGTTCATGTTGAAGCACTGTTTCTTTATTCGAGCTGCCTAAATATTGAGCAATATTAATTTTTGATTAATTGATTTTGTTGTTAGGAGAAATTCGCTTTACATGGTAGTTCTTTCATTTCACCGACGCAATGTACCGGAATCTTCTCGAAGGTGACACGAATAGCGACGGAAACGTTGCTTGACATCGACCTTCGACAGATTGTTAGTTCGCGTGTTCAAGCAGTTCGCCCTGTTACCAATTTCCTGCGCGCTACCAGCTATTGAGATCTCGGCCAGGTGAAATCATGGCTACCTCTAGCTTCGCGGCAACGAGAAAAGAAATCGACTCTCATCTAAGCACCGTCGAAACTTCTGCTTGCGACAGCTACAGCTTTTTCGTTCTTCCGCCTCATTCAGGCCCCGTGTGCCGTGTTCCATCCCAAGTCCCTCTCTCACCCTCACTCTCACCCTCTCCTCTTGCCCTCTCTCTCTCTCTCTCTTTCCTTCTTCCCTTTGCTCTCGTCAGCCAGCACGGTAGTCAGGATTTACCATCTATGTGCGACGTTTTCACTGTTGCGTATCGAATCAGAGAGCCGGCGGCCTCGCTCCCAACCCCTTCGTTTTGGCCTACGAGTGCGAATCCTCGAAATGCGTGGGACGGAAAGGATAGGAGTGGAGGAAAGGGAAGCGGTGGAAGCACCGATTCGAGGAGGCAGGTAGACGAGGGATGGCGCATCGCAGAGGTCGGACACCACGTAAATTGCATACCCGATTGCGGTCTACTGAAGAGTGGCGCCCTCCACCGAGTATCCCATCCTCCCATGCCCCTCTTCAACCCCGGTGCCGACCCCAAACTGGATCTAACAAGCCAGCGACCACAGGCTAGGTTCGGCTTGCAACAGGGTCACCACCTCTGGGGACCGCCGGCGGCTACAGCCAGTGAACTGTCCCTTGTGTGTCCTGACTGCAAACCCGCTCGGTGAAAATCTTCGAACCCACGCCTACCCCCTCGTCCACCCAACCACCCGCTCGTCCTAACAAGCCCGCTTATGTCCACTCGTAAACCGCCACGATGCACACAAGAAGCGCGTTTTCCTCCGCGACGGTGGTGCATGCACCGTAGCTCGATAAAGGATAAACGTCGGCTCAAATGAAGATCGCCACGACTGGCTGACAACTGGTTTGCCTTGATATTTGATCGTTACACTTCCGCCGAATTCGACTGGATCTATCGCATTCGCGACGAGAAGATGAGAGACACCGCAATCTGATAACAATTTGCGCAAAATAGCGTTACGGAGGAAGAGAAGTGTCGCAGTGTAAAAATAGTAACACTTAGCAGACTGTTGTCGCGATTGTTATCGCGACTACAATTATCACGCCAGAACGAGATAGCTGGGACTCTTTGACGAAGATATAACGAGCCGCGCTGCATTGCGTAATGATGTTGTCACAGTGTCACTGCACGAGACAGAAAGCGGCGCCACCCGCTGATCCGAAGAATACGACCGGTCCGACCTGCATTCTAACTACCGCTTCTTACAGATACGATATAAAAGTAGTTTGCTGCGTAACAGGCTTCGCGCGTCAAGCGTGGCTGACATCCTCAGCGAGCAACTTGAAGCGGGTAAACTCGAGTAATTATCACGCGAAACACAGTCGATTACTGCGGACAAATCTAAGTCGGTTTTTATTCTCGTTTATCACTGTCAAAAACACCATAGAGTCTTGAAAACGTTACTCAACAGACGTCTTAAAGAGCTCTTAAAAATATCTTATCTCAGACGATTTTATGGACGTTTATCGAACATTTTAAAGACTGTGTATGATTGTTTACATTACTATGAAATTTATACATACTATTGCTATAGTAAATATCATAACAATTTCTTAGTCTTTGTGAGTGTCGTGTACGTGAAGTATCTCAGACGCCTTTAAGCTTGATCTACAATGTTATATTATTTGCTTCCTATCTCTTTCGTCTATCGAACATTTTGAAGACGATATGAATGTGTACATTACCAACTAAGAGATTTATATATGCTATTACTATAGTATATATCATAACAATTTCATAGTCTTTGTAAATGTCGTGAAGTATGTCGAAATTTTGTAAAAGATTATTAAACAGTAAGTTTTTATAATTTGTTACTTTTAAGTACCGAGTGAAAATTTCCTTTCTCGCATACAGATAGTCTTTGAGAATAATAGTTTGACTATAGATTTGCTCATCCATTCTGTTCAGAAGTAGGTATCAATATTTAGGAAATGTTGATGATATCCAGCATTGCATGGTTTAAATTTTAAATCATGTACTACCAAGTATCACTATTTGGCAGCATATGTTCTAAAGTTTAAAGTATGTGTTGAATATCATCGTCACATCATCATTATTCGCTACTTGATTCTAAGCGAGTGGGCGCAACAGTGTGTATATTTAACACGTTTGCTGTCACGGTTTATTTGACAGATTCTCTTCAGAGACCAGATTATATTTCTTTTCGTGTAATTATGCAAAACAAATTTGGCTTGTTTATATGCAAACAAAAATATCGTTGTGACACATATGTGACACATATGGTAACGAACATGTTAAGTAAAATTGGAAATTTTTAGTAAAGATGAACCTGCAATGAGAGATCAGTGCATCATGTGTGACGCTGGTGGCGAACGTGTTAATAAGAGAGGAAAGAAAGCATTTTAGCAAGCAAAGGAACACTTATCATATAGATAGAGGGCCGATTCTTTACTCCGCTGAACGCGTAAGGAGTCTTTATCTACTGTTGGGATTTAAAAAAAAAGAACAGTTTCGGGATTTCCTATTCCGAAATCTACGAAGCGGACTAACCACACACGTGAGAGAGCGCGTATATCGACGATAAACTCGCAAATTCTCTTCCCACGCGGAAGAGTCTTATTTTTGCAGCATTTTCGAAAGTTTTTCGTTATTAGATTCGTTAATATGTATTCTATCGTGGCGCGTCAGAGCAGGCGAGAATGGCCAAGTGGCATTGCGAACTTTAAACGACGCCATTAATGCAA